AAGGGGACCCATGTCTGGGAATAAAAGGGGCCTCGCTCCAGGTGCAGCCGCTGCGAGTGGCTGCCCATCTGGCCGTGGCTGTGCCCCTCCCACCTGCCCGCCTTCCTGCATCCCCCTGCAGAGTTTTACGCCATGTTCAACACCGCCTGCCCCGGCCTGTTTGGCACGCCCGCAGAGTTCCGCAAGAACTTTGAGGTGTGCTTGTTCTGTATTGGTTTTTACAGGGTGTATTAGACTGCATGCACTCTGCGGTGCTGCCGGTGGAGGGGTGGTCAGGCCGTGGGCGCCTGGCGCTGCCTTGCACACGCGTAGCCTGCCTGTGTGCCTTGGCGGCTGAACTGTTGCTGCAGCACCCGCTGCTGGCGGGGCGAGATGCCTACGCCACCGACAAGCAGCTGGAGAAGGTGGGCCAGATCACTGCAGCCACGCCACGCCCCCCAGCAAGACGTGCACCGTCAAGGCCCTGGCGCCAGCGCAGAGCTCCCCTCCTGAAGCAAGCACAGCTCTGTTGTGTGTGGTGCAGAGCGTGGCGGCGCAGCAGCAGCTGACAGGAAGGGCTCAGCAGTACATGATCCGCCGTACCTCAGAGACGCTGAAGCAGTACCTTCCGGCCAAGATCCAGGAGGCGAGCAGGCGCCCGCCCGCTCAGCGGGCTCGCCACGCATGCGTGATCGACGGCAGTGTGCCCGACCGTGGGGTGCCTGCGCTGGGCAGCTTCCCCACCCTGCCTGCCTGGTATTGCTTCCTTGGTGCAGGTCATCTTCTGCAAGATGTCGGCACTGCAGGCCTCGCTGTACCGCGGCTTCCTGACCAGCGCCGCCGTCACGGGTGGGTGGTCTCTGACCGTACAACACACCGGTGCAGCGGCTGCTGTTTGTGGGGGCCAGGTGCAGGCTCTGCCAAGCCCACTGGCACGCCCCGTGGCCCCCCACCCCACCTGCCGCTGCAACTCCGCACCTCGTCCATGCTCCCTCCCGGCCCCTGCCTCCGCCCTGCCGCGCAGCGGCGCTGGCGGGCAGCAAGCTGGATCGGGGCATGGCGCTGGCCACGCTGCCCGCCATCAACGCGCTCAAGAAGCTGTGCTGCCACCCAGACATGGTGGGCAGGCGGGGGCAGGCATGGGGTGGTGGGACTGTTGGGCTTGTGGGCGTGGGCCCCACCTTGGCCTGGTGTGGGTGGGGGAGGGCGAGGTGGATGCACTTCACGCTGCCGCCCTACTCAACTGCCTGCCTGCCTGCCTGCCTGCCTGCCTGCCTGCCTGCCCACCCACCAGATCTGGGACCTGCAGCACGGCACCTCCGCCTCCAAGGCGGGCCCCAGCCTGCTGCAGCAGCAGCAGCGCGCCAGCGGGCGCGCGTCCAAGCCCAGCGGCAAGGGTCAGGGGTCTGGGGGTGGCGGGGAGCGGGCGCCGGTGGTGACTGGCATGGAGGGGCTGGAGCCGCTGTTCCGGGCGCCAGCCATCTACCCAGCCTACTCCCCTGGGGCAGTGCAGGCCATGCACTCTGGTGAGGCAGGCGCCCAGGAGCAGGGCGCCCTGCCGGCGCCATGCTTGTGCGGCAGCGCGGGCAGCCGGCAGGCGCGCCAGGGGCTAAGGGACGTCAGAAGCGCTGTGTGCAGGCGCAGCGCTGGTCTCTCTCTCTCTCTCTCCCTCTCCCTCTCGGTGGCGGCTTCCTTCCACAGATGCTGGCCTGGCGCTCGCCGCTCGCCCTGCCCTGCCCTGCCCCGCTGTTCCACCGCCCCGCTGCCCGGCCAACATCTGCAGGCAAGATGCAGGTGCTGGTCAGCCTGCTGAAGGCGATCCGGGAGGGGGAGGGGGGGGACAAGGTGGTGCTGGTCAGCAACTACACAGAGAGCCTGGCGCTGTGCGGCAAGGTGGGGCGCGCTGCGTGCGCTGTGCATGCTGCGCGTGCTGCGCGTGCTGTGCATGCTGTGACTGCGGGCTGCTGTGGGGTGTGGGTGGTTGTGCAGTGGGTATGCTGGTGAAGTGCAGGAGAAGGGGCGGCGCGTGAGGGCACGGGGACGGGACTGGGATGCAGCCTGTAGTCGGTACCGACCGCTCGCCCGCCCCCTCGCTTCCGGTGGCCGCCCGTGCCTCCCACT